CATCATTGTTGGATTTATTACCGGAACCAATTGACAAATCACCAGTGTTCGATTCATCATTGTTATTATCGGATCCATTTGACGTAGCATCATTGCTACCAGAACCAATTGAACCAGTGTTCGATTCATCATTGTTATTATCGGATCCATTTGACGTAGCATCATTGCTACCAGAACCAATTGACGATGCACCAGTGTTAGATTCATTATTGTTATTATCGGATCCTTTTGGCGAAACATCATTGTTGGATTTATTATCGGCGCCATTTGACGAATCTTCATTATCATTGTTGGATTTATTACCGGAACCAATTGACAAATCACCAGTGTTCAATTCATCATTGTTATTATCGGATCCATTTGACGTAGCATCATTGCTACCGGAACCAATTGAACCAGTGTTCGATTCATCATTGTTATTATCGGATCCTTTTGACGAAGCATCATTGTTGGATTTATTATCGGAGCCATTTGACGAATCACCATCATCATTGTTGGATTTATTACCGGAACCAATTGACAAATCACCAGTGTTCGATTCATCATTGTTATTATCGGATCCACTTGACGTAGCATCATTGTTGGGTTTATTACCAAAACCAATTGACAAATCACCAATGTTCGATTCATTATTGTTGGGTTTATTATTGGAACCGTTTGATGAATCATCATTGGTGAATTTATTATCGGGAGCATTTAATGAATTATCATTATTGACATTTGTGATGTGTTTGTTTCCGATGTCCGAACCAACATTGACGTTTGGGACATTGTTGTTTCCTATATCGCTTCCAACAGCCGAAGCGCCATCAATGTTTGTGGCATTCTTGTTTCCAACGTTGTTTTTATCGGCCGAAGCGTCATTTGCGTTTATGATATTTTCATTTCCAAAGAACGAAGGATTTGTCAAGTTTATGTTTCCAACATTGTTTGGGAGGTTTTTGTTTCCAAAGGACGAAGGAATGTTGATGTTTGGATTGTTGATGTTTTGATTGTTGATGTTTTTGATGTTCCCAATGTACGAAGCAGAATTTTCTTTAGAAGTGGATTTGCCATGGTGTCCAGCTGCTGGCACATTACCTTTGGCATTGAAATTTTTGCCTTCAGTTTCTTTTGTCGGTTTATTTACATTTGTTCCAGCATTAGTATTAGTATATGTTTGAGATCCATTATTAGAAGCTGATGTTGTAGTTGTTGATGTTTTGGCTTTCGAGTTTTTGTTTTTTTTGCCTTTCTTGCCTTTCTTGCCTTTGCCTTTTCCATTAGCATGACCATTATCATGATCATGTCCAAGTCCATTTCCGTTTTCTTTGGATTTGTTATCTTCTGTTGCTGCTGTGGGCAAATTTTCTGCTTGAACGTTCTCATGCTCTGCGCAACGCTTTTGATGTTTTTGAGCGATCAAGCTGGTAGGTTCTTCTATGGGACGAGCTGAGGCACCACCAGCAGCTATGGTGACTGCTGCCAAGGCCAACATAGCCAATTGTACTTTCTTTCTACCCATTTTATTATTATTAGTCGGAGTTGATGATGTGTTAAAGGGGGAAAAGATGATTACTGAGAATTACTATAATATAAGGTGTTTGCTTTATTTCGAGATTCTCCCAATCAATGAAGGATAGGAGAGAGGAAATAATGGGCTAAAGAAAGAAAAATTTCGATTTCGAATCAATCGAGGATTAAAGGAGAATATGCTTAAACTTTTCAAGAGACTTATTCATATTTATATATGAAACTTGCAAGAATAAAGACACAGGGCTGCATTCTTAAGATCTTCACACGTGCATTTTTAATAGACACAAAGTCAATTGGTAATGCCATAATTAATGCTTTATTGTTTATTGCTTTTTAATTTATTAAACTTCTGGCTGCTCTTTATATGGCATGTCTTTTTTGCTTTTTATTGGTATGCTTAAATCTTTTGTGGATTAATAATAAACACTGCCGTTAATGAATTCGTTTTGTTTTTAATTCGTGATGTGATGTTTTGCTTCTAAAATCATGAATTATTAATTTCCTCGTCACTGCTTTTGAACACGGACAGAAATGTTTAGCGCACAAACGCATTTTTTCTTCAGTAGCTTCTTTAAGGATAAAAACAAATAGTGGAATTTCAATTTATTTTTTCGCCTCAATAAATATATATACGCATGTAGGTAGTAAACACTCATTAACGAAGGCTTTTTTGTCATATGGAATTTTCCCGTTTTTGATCTTAAAAGGAATGTCTATTTAGGTCTGTGATACAAATGTATCAATAGATATAACGACGACGACGTAATTTTACGTCTCAAAGAGTATGTTTCAAACGTAGGAAGCTAGATTTTGTAGAAATTTCTCTAAAGATCATATTTGGAAATCGAACAACCGAATGACATACCAAAAACCTAAAAAAAATGTCGTTATCCAAAAAAAAAACCACCGATATTTTATTTGTTTCACCCAAACCTTATACCCAATTATATCGAGTTGAAGTCTCTTAAGAAATTCTTCATTGTGTCACATTTCTTTCGCATTATAAAAACCGCCCAGCGATGCAATCCTTGTTCGGATTTTTGATGCCTTTTTTGGTATATACATAAAGAGCGAGCTAATCAAAACGATGCACATCATAGTGGTTCATTCCCTCGTCTATCAGATGTATGCGTATGTGTATGCGCACCAATAATAATCCTGGTCAGTTTATAAACACTAAATTAAAATAATTTCAACACACAACTAAATGTATATGCAATCTTTAAAATTATACATTTAATTTTAAATTTATGCATTTCTTGAGTTTGTCTTTATAATTGACTTATTAAAAAGTGAAAATCAACACTTAAAAAACTTTTTAGTTTCAACGTAATTATGACAATAATTTACAATATGCATGTAATACAAGTATAAAACGCAGGTTCTAAAAATAATTAAAAATATACGAATAAATCAGCGATAATACAATAACCTTCCAATAAATAATTCCATCAATTGCTAGAACTATTCCGTCGATGCCTTAGTTTTTTTAACGGCGAAGCGTCAACGAAGTAATCAGACAATAACACTTCTAATTCCTGAAACCGATTCTCGAGACGGGATACCCGCTGGTCGGCCGATTGATATGGTTGTGAAGGATCGATTAGTGGAGTTACAAATGGCAGGTTGCTTATGTCTGCGTTTCGAGCTACTTCATGCTTTGCTACTCTGTGCATTAGACCCCTATATGGTATGAATACTGATCGTTAGTAAATTGGACTTTAAAGTTTTGCATACAAAATAAAGTATTTTACCAAGGCTTCGTTCTAGGTTGACCAAATAATATAATGTAAATACCACCTATGGCGCCTAATAAATAAAATAAAAAGGATTAAATCAAATTTTTTTTACAAAGATTACGAGAAATTAATTATCATTCTAATAATTTATCTATACCATACCAAAGGCACCGCCTGCTACACCAAGCGCTCCAAGAATAGTATGGCCTCTATAAGCGGATCCCCAAAATCAAAAAATATATTTATTCCAGACTCCAAACACGACGTTATGACTTAAAAATATATTTATTTCGTGCTTACCTTTTTTCAGTTTGTAAATCTTGTACAAAGCTCCCAACACCAACAGCAAAATGTCCATGTGTCTCATTAAATTGAAAATCGGGACTTGGATGTAACGGATAATACGCAGACGTAGTTTCTAAGTAAGATGTGTTATGGTACTTTGGATTCATCCCGAAAACAGCACCGATATCACTTTTTAAAATCGATCTAATTGTCGATTTCTTGAACCTTACCTTGAAAAAAATGAACATTTTAATTGGCTTCTTCTAAATGAATGGTAATTAACGAATCGTTATATAATGGGAACTAATACTCACTTGTGTTGAATAATTGTATATGCCAGCAAATGAGTTATATTGAAGTCCCCATTCAGCTTGCACGAATTTATCAACTGTTGTTATCGCTTCAGCTTTTCCCCATAGCGGATTAAAATCAGGATCATAAAGCTGTGCACTAATTGTCGCTACTGAAATAACCGATGAAATAGCACTAGTCAAGTTTTTGAATCGAAAATAAAAGTCAATATGATTCACAGAATGCGGATCGGCATTAGTGAGAGTAGGCATCAAATAGTAAAGTGTACGGTTTCCCGTGAATAGATAACAGTAGCTGGAGCTCGTTTCCGGTCTTGGTCCAGCATAAATATATGGCAATGATTCATTTGTGTTATAACATAGATCATAAGATGATGTAGTCCAGTCTCGCCATGTGAATACACATTTACTAATTTCGATATCGCTCATATAACCACATATTTCAATGTCTATGTTGTATAAAAAATGGTTTAATTTACATAGTTTTAATTTTCAATGCACAATAAACTCGTCAAAAATTCTACCTGGAACTTGGATGATATCCAAATATTCAAGACTAGCTTGTAAAAGCGGAACATCGGTTACAATTTCTAACACATGGACGGTAAGTCATTTTTATATATAATTTTCACGAAGTCTCAATTACATTAATTAAATACCATAGATTAAAAATGATAAATATGCGAGATACAAAAGTATGACTACTGCAGCGGTTGTTAATCGTAAGCTATAAAAGCTTTTAGACTCTTTAAACTAAAAAAGAATAATATTTTTTGAATCATATTTTCTCCTCAAGAATTCATTCAGAAAAAATATATAAAAAGATATTTACAATTTTGCGACCGAAATCAAAAACAAAAACCATTTTTAATAAGAATAAAAGTCGAATCTTTCGCTTATGAGTTAGAATACATGTATATATAATGTTTAAAATAAGTAAAAGATCTTTTCTTACTTTTCTTATCGTTATTTATATCGATAACGATATTATTATATGCATGTAATTTAATGATCACAAATTGGGTTAGAACAATTATTATCAGAACGAGTAGGGTTTTTGTTCCAGCTATTTTAGGCAAAAAAAGTGATACTGTGTTAAAGGATATTTAGCTCTGGAGAAATTTCTTTTTCAAAAATTTTTTTAATTGGCTGGAAAAGTAGAGCGCCACCAGTGCACATCAATAAGAATAGAAATTAAGTTTTAAAATTTACACTTGTACGTACGCAGTGTTGGTGCACAGGACAATCTGAACAAGAGTAGGGGGATTAGTTGGGAACAAGAGAAAAAATGACAAGAACTCAAGATTTACTATCGCTATGACAACCTGACTTGGTGATCTAAGTAAAAATATTTAGCATCTAATTTTATAGATGTACATGTATTTCTGATATAATTTTAAACTAAAAGAGAGTTGGGACATGCTTGGACGGGACAAGAATGTATATACTGTATAACGATGCATGCTTGTACTTTTATCTCCTTTAGTTGAATCAAATAACGCAGAGAAAAAATTTTGTCATTCTAAGGAATTTTACAGAATTCCTGGAACGGATACGGTACTATTATACATTTCCGAATAATTTCATAAAAACTCCGCGCAACTTTCTCATAGACACTAAAAAATTTACAACAATGACACATAAAAATACTAACTTGGATTGTAACAGTTGAAAATAAGAAACTGCAACATGCATACACTCATTTTATTCATGTCTAATTTGGAGTCCTTAAAGTAACGCTAGAAAATTTATGCATTAAAAAGTATTTTACGTTAAAAATTATAACAATTGTAAAAAAAATTACAGCGTTAGGCTTTATGAATTAACAAGATTAGATTTTATGAATCAATAAAATTGAGATATCACTCTCTTTATAGTGTAACAAAAAAATTTAATAGTAAAAAATTTTTGAAAATCCACTATATTAGTAAATTTACTATAAAGGAGGTACACTATAAAGAAAGCCACTGTGTATATTGTGGATAGTACTTTAGGTGGGAGAACGTTGTATCACAAATCAAAATGGCGTAAGGTGAAATAAAGAAAACAAAGGTGTAAATGATAAAGGGGAAAATTAAAGGTCCTATGCCGACATCTTCGAATGTTGTATAGTTTGATTAAACAATATATAATTTCAATTATGACCTTTTAATAATCGAATCAAAAAGACAGGAAAAAAGTGAAAACTTACCACCCACTACAACAATTTCTATGGTTACAGTATGTCAAACGTTCTGTACAACTCATCCTATATCGGAAACACACGTGTTAGATGTGTGAGGTAAATCAGCTTACGATTTGCCATAATTAGCCATATTTAAAATTTACATCTTGTTGAGAATATTCAGAATCAACTTAAATCAAAAAAAAGAAAAAATATAGAATTATATTATTAAAATAACTATCTGTCTGATTTACTCTTATTCAACTTGAATATAATAGAATTACTTAAATATTCTCAATTTATAAAACAAAACTAAATTTTACTTAGTGAAATCAGAAGTCTACTTCTAATTGATTTGCCCATCTTACTTTCAAAAGTGATCGAAGATCCGTAATGGTTTGTGGGAGAATAATTAAAAAGAACCGTTAATATTTATTGAATGCAAAAACATGGCGAAAAAATAAATGCAAAACCAAATTTTCACACGCAATTAAAGATTCATTTGGTGGGAAAAGTCAAGGAATGGTAACGGAAATAAATTTACGTTTAGGCCGGTGAATTCGTTAGATCTAAATCCAATGGGAGAAAATTCGGAAATTGTTAAGGACAATATCAAAAGAAGAAGCCTTTCCGAACACTGTGGTTTGTTCTAAATACTGTACTAAGGAGGAATTATATGTGTCTGTTTAGAAGGGGTTATTGCTTCAATGCCAAGAAAGAGTCAAATCGAGGGAATATACGTCCGAGCGATACTTTTTGTGTACTGTACACATGAATCTCTGAGAAAGTACATGTACATGCCAGTGTTTTTAGTACATGTATAATTTTCATCGACATGCGAGTATGTAAACTATCGCCATGAATAAATAACGATAAAAAAATGCGGCAATCAAATTTAAAAAACAAAATAGAAATTTCAACGTTTGATTACAAACAATAATTTAAAATTTTAGGATAATAACGACGTTAACTTTGAGTGGTGTAATATCAAAACTCACATATTGCTTCAACTAATTTTGAGCAATTGTCTATTGAAGCTAAACAAGTAGAAATCTTTATTATTTATCTAAACTTAAATTCTAATTATCTCTTCCATAACGATAAGCCGTGTAAAAATGATTACATTCTAGCCGGAAATATGCACAATTTAGGTTTAGCAAAAAGTGAAGTTAGATTAATAAATATTGAACATAGGAAATATAAACGTCATAGATTTCATAGAGATCAACGGATGGATGTAGATATCATACATTGAATTTTATTTTTATTTAAAGGTAGCTTATAAAAAAACCATAATTTAATTAGTTACATGTATTTGAACAATAATAAAAATATAATTTAATAAAAATAAAAAATTGGGCCATTGTTTAATGAGATTCATAAATAGAAGGAATTACCATAGATTTTTGCCCTTCAGGCTTATTGAATTCGATGAAATTCAACGCAGAAAGGTCATTTTCACATTGTAACGAGGACGAACCCAGCTGATGAAGCATAATGCTTGAATTGTGCTGGATTTCAAATTCTCGAGCATCTCGAGACACATCAAATGGAAAAGTATTGTTCCAATTTGGTGCTTGGAGATTTAAAGTGTCCAAAAGCCAAATATCAGAAGAAATAGTTGGAATATTACGTGGAGATTGAAGGAATGTCTCAGAGTTCTGTTCTTCATAGTTAAATTGAGACTCGTTCGTCTCTTGGGGAAAAACTTGCATAGTAGTGTCCATGGTGGAATATAATTGATAGTCCATAGAATTTGGATCAGAAGGTTCAAACGAGTATTGATTATTAAAATCTGTAATCGGAACGTTTTGAATTTGATAAGAGGAAGAATCTGGATAATCATTCCAGATATTTGCCAATCTAGCCGGCCAATCATATTCAGAGAAGGGCTCAAAGAGCTCTTCGTCATATGAACTATCTATTATCATTGAAGGCGCCAAAGCCGAAGTCTCAACAAAATTATTGGCAATCATCGTAGAAGCTTGTTGCACCGTAAGATCCTCCTTACTTGAAGTATCAATGGCCATGGAAGAATTTTCAATAGGTGCGTTATCAATTGGAATGGAAATTTCTTCCTGCGTCTTTTTTGCTGCATCGACATTGGGGGAATTCATTGAAGAGCTTGAATTCGGCGAATTGAGATTTACGACTGCCTTTCGTTCATTTTTAACTTTATTCGCTCGCATTTCTACCAACTCGATGTTGATCTTACGAGCCATTTCCTTGTAAGCTTTTTTGACCTTGATAGGTTCACGTTGCCAGGATTGCGACGCCATCGCCGAGACCAAATTTAGCTTAAGTACACATCCTCTATTACGAAGCTCTTTTTGAAAGGCGCGTCTGTAGATGATAAAGCAATTTGGTGATTTCATGGGAATTTTTCCATCTTTAAGAGTAATACATTCACTAGTGGTAATTTGTGGAGGAAAGGGAACTCTGAAATCGCTCAAAGGGGACTGTTCTTCATCATATTCTAACGCTTTAAGATTATTAGGATCAATTAAGTTGACAGTTTTCGAGTTAGACATTTAAAATGAGTTAATTTCTCGACCACTATCCAACAAAATATTCGAACAAGCTTTTATATTTTTTCACACGCTCAAGACTCCGATAATCTAAAACAATAGAAATAAATAATAAGATTAATTAATAATAAGAAAAATATTTCACAAAGACGCAAAATTTAGAAGTAAAAACTGCGGAATAATTAACCTTATGTATTTATAACGATAGAAAGTACATGTACAAATGATTATTCATTTAACAGGTTATACATGTAAAATTGGCAACAATAGAATTCAACTGCGTCATTTTATGCTTAACCACGTGTTTAAAAAATTGCTTTACTACTAAATCAGTCGAATTATTAGTCAATCATTCCTTTGAATCAAAGTTTTGAGTGTGTTCCAAGTAAATGCATACACATACAGATTGGAATAAGTTTTCTTTTTTTAAATAATACATGTACATTTATAAAAATTTAAGATCTTTGAGAATATCAATAAACGTAAAAAAAGAAAATGACTACGTAATATTTAATTTTGTAAAAGGAAAAAAGAAACTTCAAACAAAGCTTTAATTTTTCCGCAAAAAAAGAATTTTCTCTGGTGGTTATTAAAATTGCTCATTAAGGAGTTGGCACACAGATTACATAACGATTAAATAGCGATAATATAAAGTGGCGATTTTTTTACTGCATAAAACTGAGTACAACGTTATCGTTATCATACGAAGATTGAATACCATATTCGGAATTAGAATCAATATTATTGGCCTTCATTCACTTTGATCAACCACTTTGATCGACTTGTTTCTCAGGCACAAGAGGAATACCACATTAGGTGTTAACTTTATCGCTATTGGCTTGTTGAAGTATTCGAGAATATTAAAATCATAACCCACTGCTTAAGTTCCAATTGTCATTATGTTAGGTTGCATTTCAATGACTCATGCGAACTAAATTTAAAGATATAAAGCGCATTCTTGTTTTTTTTTCTATGAACTCCGCCTTTAATCTTTTTGACGGACCTGCCGAAATATTTTTCTTCTTCATGATACATTTTCACAAGAATTAAATATGTTATGCTTCTAAATAAGTGTATTAAAGTAAACTTTGTTCGCTAAATACAGGATGTTCATTGTATTAAGGTTTTATTATGTTGACGCATAATAACTTACCCTTTCTATCTAAATAAATGATGCGATTTTTTAAATACATGACTAATGCTTAGTACATAGTATAGTTTCTATTGTGCCGAAGTCCGGTTTCTCATACTGTTAACCAGATTTACGACAATTTCATTAGGGAGACGGCTCCAATCCTTCATTAATTTTCCCTTTAAACCTTTAATTGTTCTAATTTTTCATATATTAATTTTAATTATTGCTATACATTTTTCTATAGGATTTTGGTCTGGCCAGGGAAATTCATCGATGTCATTTCTGTTTCCATTTTTCCGCACGGTGTTTACTGCAAGATTCACTCTAAGTTATTTTTGCCAAAAAATCCTTCAGCAGAAGTTAAAAAGACCGTCTCATAAATTAAATAGTACACATTAAAATTAACATCGAGCTTTGTCAAAAACAAAATAATTTACCAAAACCCCCCGAGATGAAAACAACCCATACATTCACCTTCGGTAGCGCTTTACCATTTTCGCCTTACAATAAATTGCCAAGCTTTTTTATTTGAATGATAACAATTGAAAGGTACTTTCATTCGTAAAAATGACCTGATTCCTTTGAATTTCGATGTTTTTTTGCCCACCGTAGTCGTTTGATTATCAGTAATGGTTTAGGAATTTAGTTCATAATCCTTCTTGCTTCAACAAGATATCGTCTAACAGACCTTGCACTAATTCTAACCCCTTGTTTTTCAAGATTTCGCTGTATTTCGGTGCTATTTATACTGTGTTCCTTTTGCCATTTGCGTATTTCTTTCGTCTTGATTTTGTGGTAGTGTTTGCTTGTCGGATTTTTGTTATTCATTCAAGTCTTTAGTTTTTTTTATCAGTTGATTCAATAAACTGCTGTGAGTTTAATACAGCCAATGTACTCCGCTGTGGCCTCAAGTTCCAGCTTTGGTCCTTTTGGCGAGTGTGTAAAAAGATAATTCGTATTGCTTATGGAGTGGAAGAACCATTTGGATCATGATAATAATAAGTGTAAAGCATTTGTATAATTAATATGAGTATTGGTGCACCAAGCCTAATCGCATCCAATAAATAAATCAACACATAACTAAGTCTTTGAGTTATATAGGGTTGAAAATTTCCTATTTTATTAAGAAATTTAAATTTAAAATTTTTACCAGAATTATGATTATTTTTAGGTCAACTTTAAAGAATTTCAGCCAACCTTATGCTCGCTTTAGACTTGCAATAAAAGATTTTTCTTCTTTCATACGCATTTTTTTTTTCTCCCTTTTTTTGTGCTTTTACATTATATAATTATACTGTTACGAAGACAGTTACAGAATTACGACAAATGTTAATTATTCTGAATATAGTTGCTATTGCCATGTTAAGAGAATTGTCTAACCCCGAACATTCATAAATCCGACAAACGAAAGTCTAAAAGAGCGGCATAGAAAACAATTGATATTTAAGATGGAGGCATTTAACCAGGTTGTTATAACGTCCATGTCAGAAAGCATATATGAGTAACACATAAATAAAGGGTTTAGGTGTGATGAATTTTCCTCCTCAGCTAGCTATGCTATGCCAATTGTTTTGATTATAGTTGATCGATTCAATCCATCCATCTGTATAAATAAATATTTTGTTTTAATTGCGTAGGTCATCATAAGTTTATTGACTTAATTTTTACTGTAAAAAGTTAACTTATTTAACATATCGTAAACCATTATTTGAAACCTGAACAACATTATGCGAAGCGAGAATTACATGTTTTTATTTAATTATAATTTTCTGATTTTTTTAAAAAAATATATTTAAATTTATAATGCATAATAAAAAGTGACGTTTAAAAACGTGAATGAATCATTTTTTAGATTTTTGTAACATAGAAATTCGTTCAGTTAATCAGAATTAATTACGAGTGGTAGAAGATGTAGCATTATTTAAATTTAAGTTTAAAGGATTTGGTTTTATTAAAATGCTCTTTTGCTTGGACGATGCAGATTCTTGTGGTGTAAGGAAATCTGTTAAGCTTCTTATTAATGTTGAAGAATAATCAGAATTTTCGAATTGATGCTTGGAGTTCGACGAAACATTGTTATAATTTGGCATCAATGTTGAATCATCTTCATATGCCATTGTAGCAGTTAATTTCGAAATGTCTTGAAAATCAAAGAAGTTCAGAGAATTTTGGAAACTAAACAATTCAAATGGATTTTCCAGTTGTTGCACTGGCGTCGTCGAAAACTCGTCGCTAAAATTCGTCCAATCTGCCGTCGGATTTAAATCGTTAGATAACCGCATACTTTCATCAATACTTGAGTTTTGGAATGTGATATGCTCATAATTTTCGAGGGCTGAGATATTACTGTCAGTATCGGAAATTAGATTTGACAACAATTCTATTGAGGATAAAGATGATGTGGAATTTTTATTGTTGTCAGTAATTTGTTCTTCCAGATCATTATTGTTTGGTAATGTGTTTGGTACTATAGCCTTTGACGTTGAGGGTTGTGGATAAATACGCCATCTTTTAGATTTCTTACTCGAAGCCTTCGGATACATTAAATCATGATATTCTTTGGCCTCTTTTGCGACCCTTTTATATTCCTCTTTAACAAAAGGTAATTCTTGTCTCCACGCTTGAGAGGCCATCGAGGAAATAACGGTCATCGGGAGCTGATAACCTTCATTCAAAGCTGCTCTAGTAAATGCCTTACGATAAAGAATGAATGCATTCGGCGGTTTAGTTGGTCTACTGCCATTTTGTTGATTCTTACTAATAAAATCCTCGGGCTCAATTTGAGGAGGAAATGGGGGTTTGAACAATGGTGAATTGGTATTTGTACTGACTTGGTTTGGAGTGATTAGATCACTCGCATTAATGAAAATCAATGGGCGAGAATTGTTGGTGTTAGAGGATATACTAGTTGAACTAGTTGTCGACGCGTTTGGTGAGGAGTCAGTGTTGTCTATATAAGATTCCATTTCTATATGTTTCGATTTTGGACTCTATTTTATTGCTTTAGTTTTTTGTCCAAACCCAAAGTAAACACAACGAGATTCTTCACTCGTATTTATTAACTTTTCTTGATGACGCATATATCATTCGATATTTTAAGATTCCTTAATAATTTTTCGATTGATTCAAAAATCTATATTTGGATTTGCTTAATATAGTAATAGTAAATTTAGAATGGTACTTATTAGAGATGTTCATTTCATTTCTTTGAAAGGAAATTTTTCTGTATGCTTCATGAAATTCCAATTTTTATTTAATGGTAAAATTCCGTGTCTAAAAATCTCTATCAGCCTCAATACAGCGCCACTACAAATTCTATCAGCCACAACATAACGCCACCGTCTATTTTCTTATTAGCTTATTTTGTTCATACCGATACATGCTACATGTACATGTATATGTACATGTACATGTATGTATTAGAAATACGGAACTTTAAAGACGTAGAGTAAATAAAATTATTCAACCATAGCTGGTCCTAAATGTTTTCTTAAAGGAATATGCTTCAGACATAGTCCACATATAAAGCCTATTCCACCTGTTGGAGTGACAAAAATAAAAACAACTTGAAGCGCTTTAACATATGCGTGAATTACCAACATTCTAAGGTCAGGTGGTAAGTCTTTTATGGCAGATATAGAATTTTTCACGTCGTTGAATTGTTGCGAAGTTAATGGCAAACCATGAAGATTCGCCTGTAATGAATTATTTAGTAATGTACCGCAGATGGCAACACCAAGAACCGCACCAATTGTTCTCCAAAAGGCAGAAAGTGCGGTAACTACAGCGATATCTTCAAATTTGACTGCATTCTGTGCTGCTATAAGAATTGTTTGTATGCAAGAACCGATACCAGACCCAGCGATGAATAAATAACCGATTTGTTTTCCACGGTTTGAATTTTCGTCAAGCGTGGTCAATAACCCACAACCGATTACTGTGAGAGCATATCCGAATAATATCCAAAATCGATAATTTCCTTAAAATATGTAATCGATTAAAAAAATTAATATAAAGTTATTTAGTGCCAAATTTAATTCTCGTATATCGTACCTGTACGACTCGTAAGTAAGCCAGAGACGGTTGAAAATATTGCAATTCCAGCAACAAGTGGTAATATTTCTAGTCCAGCATCTGTTGCGCTATAAATAGAAAACATAAATATATTATATCATGATAATATATATATATATATTATATAACTCAGAAAGATTACCTAACGCCCTTTACCGCCTGAAAATACAAAGGAACGTAATAAATCAACGCATAGAAAGCCATACCAACAAATACAGAGGCTATAAACATCGATAACACATTTCGTCCTTCTAGGAAAAGTCGTAAAGGAATAATTGGTTCTTTTGCAATCTTCAATTCAACGTATACAAAGACACAAGTTAACACGAAAAACACACAGAATAATGATATAACAATTGCCGAGTCCCATGTGTATTTGCTGCCACCCCAATTCAAAGGTAATAAAAGAGCGATGACTGATGATATAAGGAAAATTGTGCCTATCCAATCTATTCTCATTAACCTTTCTTTGAAAGAGCCGAAAACATGTGGTAAATGAAGTATAAATATAACAACAATGACCGTGAATGCACCTTTCAATTGAATTAAAAGCATAAGAGGATATATAGACTTTCAAAATAAAAAGGATTACATTATGAAATCAAAAATTTTATTAAACTTCTTACCGAATGGCAGATTAATAAAAAAAGACCTAAATATGGTAAATTTTAGCACAAGTTCGATTAAAGGCATAGCTAAATTGAGCTTAAAAATTTACCAACGCCAAGTCAAATGATCTGTAAATGCGCCACCCATTAAAGGACCGACTACTGAGGCTATTGCATAAGTGGCACCGATTATACCCATATACTTTCCTCGTTCACGTAAGGGTACAATATCAGCGATAATGATCATACATAATGAGAACATGCCTCCACCGCCAAGACCAGATATTGCGCGACTGATAATCATCATTGTCATATTTTGTGAAATACCACAAAGCAGTGAACCAGCTTCAAAAACGCCAAGTGCAAAAATAAATGTAGCTTTTCGTCCAAAAATATCAGAAAATTTCCCATAAAGTGGTTGAAATGCAGTCGAAGTAAGCACTTTTTAAAAAAGAAATAATGCATATATAAATTTAGTTATGATTTTTTGTTCGGCTGAATGGTTCGTCTTTTCTTGATTCATTACTCACGATATGAAGTTCCAACCCACGATATGTCTGATAATGCATTAAATTCCGATGCGATCTTTGGCAACGCAGTAGCAACTATCGTAATATCAAGAGATGCAAGAAAAATTGCTAACGAAAGTCTAAAATAAATAAGATGCAACGACTTTAAAAATTATGCCTTCAAGTTTTTAGGATAAGCTTAGACGATTTACCCTACGAAAATTGCAATGAGACTTTTGAAAGAAATTAGTGCCAATTGATCCTGAGCTGGTTCTCTCGAATCACGTAGAGATTCCTTTTCATTTTCATTTGCTTCATGAATCACTTCATTATGAACCGGATCTTTTTTGACTTCGGATGGCAACACATCGACTATGGTTGCTTGTGTTGAAGTTGAAGTGTCATCGATTCTGGACATATTAGTAATTTGAATTTTCGGGTTTTATATTAATCTATGGAGAAACTTTTATCTATTTTTATGCGGTCTATTTTTATCACACGTAGATCTTGAGGGTTTGCGAAGAATTAGATTTAAAATGACAAAAGAATGTAAATTTTTCTTGGCGTTCGAGTTTAAAACTTACTTCTTTATTCAAAAGTGGAAAAGTTTCTCTTCTCCACTAGAAAAAGATACGAAACGAAAAAAAAAAGGAGGATTGATTAGTTTTCACTCATCAACTCCGGGAAATAAAACTGCCGGAAGGTAAACTGTGCGCTTCCATGTACACATGCTACGTATTCCGGCTAAACAAATAAATAACAAAAATATCCTTCTGAAAATAACACCAAATGGAAAACAAAAAAATATGGTCTAATAAAAAAGGTTCGGGGTGGAGTACATGCATAATATAAAAGGATACAATAAATAAATGAATGTTGTGCTATATCACATCCCTGCTCTCATCACTTCATTGTTTTTAGGGGGTTAATCTAAAATGAACCCGAATATATTATATAGAATTAGACCAATCGGATATTTATAATCTTATTTTGGTCTGGGATAATAATGAACACTAATTTTCTAAATTTGAAGTCCGTTAAATCGCTATTATTAAACTTTCGAAATTCCGCATATACATTTAAGTCTTGATGAAAGCAACAAATCATTTACTGTTTCAGCTATTGCATTTGTGGCGAAAGGTGATACTTTATGAGAATAATAAAATAAATTAATAATTAATCTAAATCCATAGCAAATAATTTTGGGGGTATGTGATACATCTATTGTTTTTTTTAGCAAATTGATAAATTTAGAAAATTAGAATTGAAAATCGGGTTTAACGCTTTTACGTCAATTAGGCTCAAACTAATATAATATTGTGGATGAAATTGCCAATCGAACAATCTGATAATAAACTCGCATAAACAGTACATGTATAACCTATTGTTTTTGAATCTGCATCTCGATACATCCAAAATATAAGCTACAGTAACTGATACGCGATAACGAATGTTTACCTTGTGATCTAATTAGGAATTGCTCAACATTCAGAATACTTAAAGTTCGGCGTTACTTTGAAGATCCGGAATTCGCCCATAAGAACTGGATTAAACTGGTTACAGTATTAAAAGCCTGTTTGTAAAAGCTATCTGGAAAATACGAAGTCATCACGTGATTAAACATAAATTACATTAAGGATTAAATACAATTCTGATCTCGCTACTTTCATGATCGATAAAATAAGATGTACATAGTTTGCACAGAAATGACGTATTTTACATCTACATGCACAAATGCATTTGCATTTACGTAATGACACACACATTACGTTACAATGTTTCCAATTGGTTCAATCCCGTTGATAACGATAAAAATTAGCACATGTAATTATTCCAAAAAAAATCAATAGCGGATAAATAGGTTTTATACCTCCGAATACTGGAAACCTGGTTGGAATTCAGTTTTAATTTCAAACTAAACAGATTCAAACCTGCTGGCTCGAGTTCTAAACTCAAAGCTAAATTACGTAATATGAATGCTGAAATTAAAAATTATTATTAATTGTAAATGTCATAAGAAAATCACATATTAAATTACTCTATCTAATCAGTGTTGGAGATCTCATTTCAATTTAGTGTTTACTTTTGCTGTTCTCATAATATATAATTTGAAGTATTTGTGTGTTCTCAATAGTGAACATATTTGTTTTTCAATTGTTCTCACCGAAGCACTTGTGTTCTCATGGGAACGCTGAGAACACAGACTGTATCTAATTAAATTGCTGAAATAAAGATTAAAGCTTTATTACGTAATATCGATTTGATAGTAAACCTATTCCCAGTGAGACTAATTAAACAATCAAAATCAACTAGGGCGAATCATGTGATATAAATCATATAATAACACCTTTGCTGATTATTTCAGCAAATCTAATCTTCTCAGTTAAACAATATCATGTTATTTAAAGTTACCGAGAACAATAAAATGAATATGATCTATTATGACAGAAAAGATAAATGAAAGCAAAAAAAGATTCATGAATAATTACAAATTAAAAATGATTCAATTATTTAAATCAAATCTGAACTCTCAAGTATATTTATTTCAAGTTCCAGAGCACTTGTATTTATATATCTTTAATTACACAATAAAGTATTATTTCATATTTTATTTTCTACAGTTCTGTTGAAAAAATTGACACTTTTTTTTCTGAGATTTTCATTCATTATATATTTTTTCTATTATATTAGTACTAAATATGATATAAATTATTTATTTATATTATAAATATAAAACAAGTAATGGCTTAGATGCTATAAATATCATATACAGTGTGTTAAGAAAAAAATGGTGATTGATATAAGAATCATTTTTTTGTAATACATAAAAAAATATGCATTATTAATAATAATTATATTACAAATATGATTAATTCTATATCTAGTAACCAAATTTTCATAAATACATTTTTTTGTTTACATCTACTTTCTTTTGTTTATACTTTTGTAAAGATGATTAATGTGTAGCTTGAAGTCTAAAGACAAATAATTAAATATTACTGGCTTAATAGTATAATCTGTCAACTTGCTGCAAAAATAAAAAATATGCAGAATATATTAATTACATATATTATAATATGAAATTATATAAAAAAAAAAGATATAAAAGCTTTATATTTTTAGCAATATCAATACTTACAGAATAATATGTTAAGTTGAAAAAGTATGAATATAAGCATATGTGAATGATAATGAAAATCAAATAATATTTACAGATGAGATAGTATTTGATTTCTTCCAAAATAAGATTATTATTAATATAAAACTGAAGACAAATCTATTTAAAAATTATCCAAGTTCCATCAAAAAGTAATAATATAAAAAGAGATTTCTCAAATGAAAAAAACTCTCTTGTTTTGTTTTATCAATATTATAAATAATTCTTTTTATATAAGAATATTACAAATTTAACTTCTATCTATAGCTCAAAAAATATATGGGAGTTACTGACATTTATAATAGAATACTAATTCAAAATATATATTATGTTTTACTAAGAAAATTTATTACTGAAAATTTAATTCACTTAATTAACTGGCTATCCAATAGTCTAGATAATAATCTCATTAAAAATATATAATAAATTATAAAAAATAATATTAAAAAATGAATATTACAAAATATAAATAAATTAATAAGATTTATAATTGAAAAATAGGATGCAATTTCTTAAAAAATAGTTAATAATTAAGTTTTTTTATGCAAAGCAGATGCAAATCAATTTTATTAAATAATAAAGATAGAATCTTGTTATAAGATTATTTTATTAATGATTATAAATAAGATAAAATATTATATAAATAGTTTTAATTTTATAACTTATAATTATTTTTATTATTTAAAAGTATTCAGATCTGAAATTAAAAGTATAGAACAAATAGATCATATTTATAATAAAGAAATAAATATAAAAAGATTTGGTAAGATTTCTGGAAATACATCTTGAAATTTTCTTTTAATATCTAGTACTTCTGGTGAAAGTAACTTTTCTTTGACTTCTTCTTTATTGTCAGCATTATTGAGATGTATGATAAAGAGTTCTGCATTTGCTGGCAGATTTGCAATTTATTGTCTTGAAATATATATTAAATTGCAGCTGGAGTCTGACTTAACTTTATTATCAGCTTGAACTTTGATTATCTTTAATCTATAGATAAAGATTATGATATTATTTCTCTAATCTATGATGGAATTAATGTGAAATAACCAAAATTTACCTAGGATTAAGTTATATCTCTGCAATTTTAAAATCTGTGCATCTCATCTTATATATTCTATAGGTATCTAATTTTAATTCATTAATTTTTATTATGATAATGACAATAATCTTCTTGTTATTAGTGAGTTCAACTGTAGCTGATATTGTTTTTTGTAATTTCACTTTATTCTTTTATACAAATTTTTTATTAATAAAGTTTTTAGATATGTCACTGTTAAGTAATACCTATGCTAGTTTGTCATTTACTTGGCTATTAAATTTTAATAATCTCTCTCTGTTATCTTTTAAATGAGCAAACTCAATTCTTTTATAAGACTGTGAAAATTCTTCTTACTTATCTTTTATATTTGTAATTTTAGGCTTTGATTTTAAATAATAATTTTTAGTGAAGTGACCTGATTTGTCATAATTATAACAGATATCTTTTGGTTTATTATTCTTCTTTCTGTTATTGTAATGACTTTCTGCCTGATCTAATTTCATAGATATAGGACTATTATTCTGGTAACTTCTATGCTGATTCTGTGAGTGATGACTGTTATTATTTTTGCTTGGTAGGCCTAATAATCTGTCTTGATTATATATAGCTATATCATAGTAAATAACCAATTTTCAAGCTTCTTCTAATGTTTCTGATATCTGGTAACTTATCTTTATCTTTGTAACTGATTTTATATCTTTTATAAAATATGTGACCTGATCTAAAGTACTCATATCTATAATTTGTCTAACTATATTTATGAACTTTATACTATAATCTTGTATAAATCCTATTTGATAAAGAAGGTGAAGTTGTCTATAAAGATGTTATTGATAATGTAATGATTGAAACGCTTCTCTTAATATTATAATAAAAGCTTGCCAATTTTTAAAGGGTTCAATGCTATCATCTATTTTGACTTTGTTAAAATACTAATATAAATCTGCATTAGTCAAGAAAGTGATAGTATACTGTATTTAAGTTTTTTTATCTGTGATTTCTTGGATCTGAAATATTATTTTAACTTGCATGATTCAGAAAAGTATATTTTTATTTAGCTCTCCTAAGTAAGTTAGCAATTTAATTGAAAGATGAGGTGAAGGTTTAGAACCAGAGAGACTATTTTCTTTTACTATCTTGATTAATTCAGTCATGCTTGTCATGAATTATGTAAATTATTCTGGATTTATTCTAAGAAAATATTAATTTAACTAAAACT